GGCCTTTTGGAGCTGAGCGAGCTCGAGAAGGTTGAACTCGACCGGAAGACGAATTAGATCTACACGCGAGAGTGCATCAGCCACAGCGTTATCGGCACCAGCTACATGTCTGATAGACGTGGTGAACTGCGAAATAAACGACAACTGGCGACACTGACGAGGTGACGCCTTGTCAGCGCGCTGTTGGAACGCGTGAGTCAAGGGTTTTTGGTCGGTTAAAACATGGAAGTCCCTGCCTTCAAGAAAATATTTAAAGTATTTAATAGCCTCAAAGATAGCGGTCAGCTCCCTGTCATAGGTGCTATACCTCGTTTGGGCAGGCGTAAATTTTCTCGAAAAAAATCCTAAGGGCCTCCAGGTGCCGTCAAGGCATTGTTCGATAACACCACCCATGGCCAGGTCAGAGGCGTCTGTAACCAGGCGTGTTTCCGCCTCAGCCGATGGATGACTAAGAAGAGTAGCGCTGACTAAATCGCTTTTGCTCTTCTCGAAAGCGGCGTCCGCTTCTACGGTCCAGACGACCTCACGCTTATCATTTTTAGTCGATCCGCGGATGTATTCGTTCAGAGGGGCGTGTAGTTCAGCCGCGTGAGGCGTGCAGCGGCGATAGGTATTCACCAAGCCCAAGAAGCGACGTAGCTGAACTACTGTCTTAGGCTTAGGAAAATCAACGATAGCCTGGACGTTGTCCTGCGAAGGCTTAGACCCGTCCTTGGTAATCGTATAGCCGAGAAATCGAATTTCGGTTTTAAAAAAGATACATTTACCTAAATTAAGACTTAGGCCGAACTTTTCTAGGCGTTCAAACACAGCACGTAAATGCAGTGCATGTTCGTCCTCGTTGGAGGAGAAGATGAGAATATCGTCTAGATAAACGTAGACGAAATCTAATCCGGCCAGGGCGCGATTAATATATCGCTGAAATGTTTGACATGCATTTCTCAACCCGAATGGAGTCACCAGATACTCGAAGAGCCCGAACGGCGTGATAACAGCCGTCTTCGGGACATCCTCGGGAGCCACTGGAATTTGATGGTAGGCTCGAAGGAGATCCACGGTAGAGAAAACGCTCTTACCGTGGAGAGCCGTGGAAAAATCATGCAGGTGCGGAAGCGGATACCTATCCGGTTCGGTCACGCTGTTTAATTTACGGAAATCACCGCACACTCGCCAAGAACCGTCTTTCTTTTTGGTCAAGTGTAGCGGGCTAGCCCAGGGGCTGCTTGAGTGTCTACAATGGCCGTCCTCAACTAATTTTTCGAACTCGCGCTTGACAGCCTGATATTTATCAGGATTAAGACGGCGTACGCGGTCGTAAACAGGAGGGCCCTTGGTAATGATATGATGGAAAACATCAGTTGATTTGATTTTGCCTGCAGGCTTTCGACCAGTGATTTTGGGAAATTCAGCCAGCAAAATGCCAACCTTGTCACTCGAGACTATGCTTACCGAAGAAAAAGGTGCTGTCTTGACGAAGGCTGGGACAAAGGTGTCAGAGAAAGGATCAGAGATTTTGCGTCTCCGAACATCGACTACGAGACCAAAGTGGTCGAGCAGATCGGCTCCGATGATAGGATACGGAACTGCTGCGACACAAAACGTCCACTTCAGGAGATTTTTTAGGCGCAGATCGAGGCATAGCTCTCTCTCGCCAAAGGCCTCAATAGGTGTATTGTTAGCGGCCAGAAGTTTGGTACAGGAGGGGCTAAAGGAATCGACAAGTTCTTTAGGGATCAGTGAAATCTCGGATCCCGTGTCGATTAAGAACACCAAACCAGACTGTCGATCCTTGACGTGCAAACGTCTAGAAGAACGATCCTCTCCTACCGCCCCAATGTAGAGAGGATTGTTTAGTTTCCCGCAGGAGGAGACCAAGAACAAGGCTTAAAACAACGATGCGCTTTATCACCGTACTTCTTGTGAAGCCGGCACAAGGTACTACCCTCAACCGAACCGGATTTTGATTTACTACGGGATTTAGAGCGACCGCGCCTTTGCTTTGCTTTAGTTACCTCAGTCTGGAGGTTACTAAGCTGAGCAGACAAACGCGCGATCTCCTCCTTCAAGGAGTCAAGAGAAGAGGCATGAACCGAAACAGCGGCCACGGCGCCCGAAGAAGAGTCGGCAGCTTCCATATACTTATCAGCCATCTCGGCTATTTTAGCCAAATCGGTGATGCCTGAAATAGCGATAGCTGCACGACAGGGAGGAGGAATCTGATCCAGGAAGACTGTACGAAGAACGTCATCCCCGCATCTAGTGTCTAAAGCACGCAACCTGCTCAACAATAAAGACGGTTTACCTATCGAAGAAACCTGACCTTTAATCAGTTGGCGCAATCTGGTCTCCGAAGAACTACCGAAGGTGGCTATTAACCTTGCTTTCACCTGTTCATAAATATCATCAGGGCGCGGCGATAAAGTAATCAAATCCTGGATAGCCTGAAGGGCCTCCATATCTAACTTTTCTGCGATACAGTCAGCTTTGGTAGCGGAGACAGTGATACCTGCGTTTCGAAGGGTGATCTCTACCGAAACAAACCAAGTAACAGGATTTTCACGACAAAAGGCCGGTATTTTTGGTTGCCTGTAAATAGCAGCTACGGGCTGAGGCTGAGGGACAGGGTTGTTTCCCTCCTGGAGAGTACGCACCTGTGCTAGAGCTGCCTCCAACCGTGCTTGCAGCGTGCGGACTTGATCGTCAACGACAGGGTCACTGTTCGACATTGTAAGGTGTGAGGCTTTACAAGCTTGATGCTAAACGTGCATGCGCAGATGCAGTACAAACGCAAGCTAATTGCAACGCAACCTAAGACTCACACCACGCACGATTAAAAATAAAAAATAAAAAAAAAACTTTATCGACCGAGCTTGAAAAAGTAAATAAAAAGCAGAGGTTGCCAAAGTAAAAAAAATTTTAATTATCAGATAAAAAGGTGTACGCCAATGCGACCACGGAAATAATTAACACTATTGCGGGGAACTAAAAGTAACTCGCAAGAGAAAAACTATAGTCAGCGAACTCGATAGTAAGAACGCACTCCGCTTAAGCTGGTCAAAAAAAAAATTTCCGAGTATCTAACCTGAACAAAACGCCCGCAACGATAATGGCCGTCGCCTGGCGAGGCGCGCGAAAAAAAACTTGAGAAGACAATGTCTATATATATATGTATGTCTCTACCGCAACGGCGGTTTGCGTTTCTCGGAAGACGCTCGAAAAACACTATAGGTACACAACTCGGGCGCACAACACTCCTACCTCAGGGAAAACGATGAGTCACGTCGCCTCAGGGCCAGCAGGAGCTCACCTGGGTCGAGGTTGATTGGGGAGCAGTGACAGAGGCTCGGTCTCGGCCTCGGAGCTGCGTTGGTAGAGGCGGCAGCCAAGCCACGCAAAAACCGATGGCGTCTGACGCAATCAGCGTCACACGAGAGAAGTCGGACGCTTCCCCTAGCGCTCGAGGAATTCTCTCCTCTCCGGTGTTGGTCGAAGGGCTGGACGATCACGTCGGGGTCACCAATGTGGAGGCCTGGGCTAGGTTGCCCCAGGATGTCTCCGACGCCTTCGAGGAAACCAGGAGAGATATCGGAGAGAGGTCTGCAAATCAGTACAAAGAGCCTTGGGTTAAATATATGTTTATTGGGCTACAAAATGTACAGCTCCGCCGTGTAAGGCGATAGAGCGAAGACTGACTATGTCGACGAGCAAGCCGGCTACGAGCGGCACGATATATATAACTTCGCGTGGAGGGGGAATCGTCCCCTACTCTGCTAGCGCTTAGCAGGCCGATATCCCCACAAGATGACGGCAGGGGCGCCCTCCTTCGTTCTGCGCGGGTACTGCTCCTGCGGAGCTGCCGAGCCCCGCGCGGGCTGACTCACTGACGATCGAGGACCCAAGGAAGAAAGAGCTGAGGGAGATCACATCAACAGAAGTGATATAATTGTCTGCAACTCTGTACTAGGCGCTAAGTCATATTGAATAAAGATTTTCAAAACTGAACATTGGTCCTTCGAGCCGGATTCCAAGCGAGTAAGAAACAAACAGCAGCCATTGCAGAGCAGGTGTAAACCAAGGAGAGCATTCAGCACACAACATAATATGAGTATAATATTACTGATGTCAAAGTGTTGGTTGTATTAAGCCATCGCGGCCGCCATCATGCCCGCGGTCCGGCTTACGTTGCCTGATCATGGCCACGACGAGGTCGTGCCGCCATTAACGCGTGCCTCACGAGCATCCGTGTCACAAGTTTAATACAAGGCTGCCGCGGCCACCGCATAGCCCGTGTTCCAGCGCTTGTCATACATACGGCCACGGCAGACATGAAGCCGTGTCGCTGGTAATGGTTATTTCGTCAGTAGTGGAGGCCACATTGGCTTCCTTACGGGTGTACCTATACCTTGTCATGACTAGAGGAAACGCAATACGGGTGGTTTATCAAGGTTAGCATTTAACCTCTTTTTCTCAATGCGAGATGCACGCAAGCGTCTACGCGCCCGCATGGACATGTGCGTGTGTGCGTGTGTGTGTGTGTACATAAGGTGTGAGTCTCTCTCTTTTTCGCTCTCTCTTCTTCTCCCCGTCATATAACCGCACACATACGTGTTAATTTGTGGAAGTGAGGACAAAACCATTGAGGGTTCTCGCCCAGCGCAGTCAGCGAGCACGCCCAGCATCCGTCCACCAGCTTCATCATCTTCTGGGCAGCACTATCACTCCCTCGCAACCGGCGCAGCTCTGCCTCCGTGCCCGTCCTGTAGCGAAACCCATTACCTGGGGCACTGCGCTCGATTCCAAGGCCTCGACGCGCACGCTCGGCGATACCTGGTCTACCAAGCCCAACTATGTTTTAATTGCCTCCAAACCAACCGCCCACGCACTACCAGCTGTTAACAGTCACCTACGGCGCTTCGTGCTCACCGTACCTCTCCTTGCGCACTGTGCAGCAGCTGTGCGAGGACGAAGGACACCGTTGGCTCGAGGCAGTTCTCGTGGTGATGAACGACCACTACGTCGACGACATACTCTCCAGTGCCAACGACGTCGCCATGGCCCGACATATTCGAGACCAGCTAATCGAACTTCTGCAAGCCGGCGGGTTTCCTCTGCGCAAGTGGGTAGCCAATGTGCCCGAGCTGCTGGACGACCTCCCCGACGACGTGCGCCTGCGGCCCACTTGGTGTCAGCTTAGCGCTGAAAGTCTCGTTAGTGAGCTTGGTGTGAGCTGGGACCCACCGTCAGATTGCTTCCTGCTAACACCTCCCCTCATACAGCACCAAACTACTAAGAGGACCATGCTCGCAGCGCTCGCGGGCCTGTTTGATCTATGCTGTTGGCTTGCGCCGATCGTGCTGAACGCTAAACTCCTGCTGCAAGACTTATGGCAATCCAACTTAGACTGGGATGAGTCTGCTCCGTCGTCCATGATTCAAAGGTGGACTGCCTTTGCCGCCGAGCTCCAAGCCATCTCTGGTCCATCCCTGCCTCGTTGGATCGGAACGTTCGCGTCAGCGGACATTCACCTCCACGTATTTTCCGATGCCAGCCACCGCCCGATGGCTGCTGTCCTGTACTCTAGACTCCAGGCCAGGGACGGTTCTGTCCGCTGCCACATCTTCCTCGCTCGCACGAAGCTGGTGCCCATCCGCACTCTTAAGCCAATGGCCGAGCCCGTGGCCAGGATGACCATTCCTCGCTTGGAGCTTCGCGCCGCCCTGCTGGCTGCTAAGCTTTTGCGCTCAACGGCCGAAGAACTAGCAGTTCCGATTGAGCACTGTCACACCTGGTGCGATTTGCAAATTGTGCTGCACTGGGTTCACTCCAATCAGCCAACCAACAATGCCCTCGTCGACAACTACGTGGCCCAGATACAGGACACGCTACCCTCGAGCGCCTGGCGGTACGTGCCGTCACAGTCCAATCCAGCCGACGTGATCACTCGAAGCGTGGACATGTCCGGTCTTAGACAACAACTCCTGTGGTGGGACGGTCCGCCGTGGCTCACCGACAACGACCGAGCCTGGCCCTAGGAAGCACTTCAAGAGGTGACACCCCTGCTGGTGGTCTGCTATGCCTCCCATCTGGCTGAAACGAGCATACTTAAACAATATTCGAAGCTTCACACTCTACTCGTCGTTCTCGTGCGCACTCGTCGGTGGGTCCGGCGCCAGTTGCGTCGCCCACCTGTCCTGCCGTTGCTCTCACCACTGACCCCCGCCAAGCTTTAAGATGCCTTCCTGGCCTGTGTCCGTTTGAGCCAATTGAAAACATTCGGCGAAGAGCCCGCGTGTTTGCAGAACGGCGAGCGATTGCCAAAAGGGAACCCCTTGACTTCTCTTGCGACTTTCCTCGACACCAACGGCGTTCTGCGCGTCGGTAGGTGGCTGGGTTTCTCCTCGCTACCTTACGAAGAGCGGCATCTACCGATCCTTAGCGGAGCCTCATCGCTCGCCTCGCTATTCCTTTCTTGGGCCCATACTCGAGCTCTTCATGGTGGATACAGGGTCACTAGCGCCTACGCGGCCAAGCGTGCATGGATTCTCGATGGCCCACGCAGAATCAAGGCTTAATTGTGGTGGTGCGTCGTATGATCCCGACTCCAGGCCCACTCCGCGACCCAGATGATGGCCCCCTTACCAGCTTCACGAGTCATACCTTCCCGCGCTTTTGGCCACACGGGTGTCAACTACGCCAGGCCTTTTTCAGTACTTGCGTCAAAGGGACGAGGCATACGCACTACGAAGGGTTACATCGCCGTCTTTGTGTGCATGATGACAAAGGCCCTACACCTTGAGCTCGTCGGTGATCTCTCCACAGCCGTCTTCCTGGGCGCTCTTGCTCGGTTCACCGGTCGTCGCGGTTGACCCTCTGAACTCTGGAGTGACAATGCCACTTACTTTCGCCGCGCTGATCTGGAGCTGTGCGAGGCGTTACAAATTGCGGAGATCGACTGGGACCTCGTTGCCGGCTCTCTCGCTTCGCAAGGTATTGCTTGGCACTTCATTCCCCCTGGAGCTCCACATTTCGGCGGACTCTGAGAAGCCACCGTCAAGTCAGTCAAAGGCCACCTCCGGCGCGTAATGGGCTCCCGTCACCTGACCAACGAGGAATTCTCCACCGTACTAGTTAGGATTGAAATGGTGCTCAACGGAAGGCCCTTGACACCGCTCTCCGGCAACCCTTCCAACCTCGAGGTACTTACACCAGGCCACTTCCTTGTTGGAGCCCCACTCGATTCCATCATCCAGCCCAGGCCTCCCACTGAGAACTTGGACGCTCTCTCGCATTGGGACCTTGTGAGAGCCATTCGGGCTCAGTTCTGGTCACGCTGGAGCCAAGAGTACCTTAATACACTCCAGCAGAGGCCGAAGTGGACTGTTGCTTGCCAAAGTTTTGCCATCGGCGACTTCGTCATCCTACTGGACGCCACCCTCCTCCAATCGAGCGGTCGTTGGCCGCTAGGTCGCATCATTCGCGCCCAGTCTGGTCCTGATGGATTGGTGCGCGCGGTCACTGTAAAGACAACGACTGGCGAGTACGTGCAACCGGTTGTCAAACTGGCCTTACTCCCCGTAGCAAACCCCGGTCCACCAACGCCACCCCCTGGTGGTCAAGAAGGTCGACCTACCTTGGCGGGCGGCGACTAGTATGTCGCTCCAGGAGCGATGTGGGCGGATTGTTCGGCTCGTCTCCCGCGATCAACGTCCGACAAGATGACGGCACGCGATCCCTTCTTCGTTCTTCACGCGTACTGCTTCTGCGGAGCTGCCGAGCCGCGCGCGGGCTGACGCACTGACGATAGAGGACCCAAGGAAGAAAGAGCTGAGGGAGATCACATCGACAGAAGTGATATAATTGTCTGCAACTCTGTACTAGGCGCTAAGCCATATTCAATAAAGATTTTCAAAACTGAACATTAATGATGATAGTCATTATTACTGTCATTAGATGAATACTCATAATGTTAACATAATTTGTAACCGTAGATCAAGTCTTTCAGATAATTATTGCCAGTTATCATAATTAATATCAACAATGTTAGTACAGCTTATTAGAATAGGTGTTGGGTGAAACCACAGCATTTGTAATTAGATACTTGTAACTATCATTTATTGCTACGGTTTGAATAGATTTGTTGGTTGCTATTATTCCTATTACTTTTATTATTTATACGACTAATGCTTACATTCTCTGAAAGAGTGGGTGTACTTACGAGATACCACCGTAGGATGATTCGATAAGTGTTAGTTAGTTTTTGTGTTACTTCTATTATTTGTATCACTAAAACTATGAACTAGTAAAAAACAACTATTAAAAATCGTCGAATAAAAAGGAGTGTTCGAGTTAGTATGACCTGGATAGAGGCACGCAACACATGCAGCTCAGCAAGTTGGCACTACTAGTCAGAGGGGTCTGAAGGGGGCTTACACAGGCACACAATACAGTATCTGTAAATTTCATAATGTTGAGAACGTTTGAGATCCAGTTTGGTGTGTGTATGTTAGCCCTACTCTTGGCTCTTTCACTCTCTCTCTCTTTAACCGAGACGGCTGGAGCTCCTTCCGAGCGAGCGTCTTGGCCTATTCTCTGGTTAGAAGCCAACCAGTACGTAACTTCTCGCTTTTCCCGAGTTCACCAGAGGAAGCATAGCAATGTTATTCCTTGTTTGCCCTTGTTGGCTCAAGTGCTCAACGCAGCCACTCTCTCGCTTGGCCCAAGTTTCCCAGCCTCAGTTCAGGCATCAGTATTCCTGCATAGTTACTTTTTTTGATTATAATTAAATCGTTGAGGTCATGTTTCATGTCAACTCGTCATTTTGAAGACGTGTTTCATATTGAATCGTCATTTTGAATCAAACGAACGAGGCCGTGGCTCCTATAGACTCGTCATCTTGATTCAAGCGAGCCTCTAATAGTTTAAGTTTAATTGGTTTAGATTCAGTTTTTAAGCTTTGCTCACTTCGAATGAGAATTGTGCTTGCGTCGTGGTTCTTTTCTCGTGCACAGCGCCATTTTTCTTGTGCGATTGTATATATATATTGATGAATAAATTACGATTCATCATTGATTATAATTGTGATGTAAGTCATTTTTATTTCAATTTTGCCTTTTTTGCTACTAATAGTCGATTCCCGACTTGACTAACTAATTAATATTAAAGATTTGCATAAGGAATTCGAGGCTCACTAAAGGCATCATCCCTTAGCCAAGCGAATTATAGCAAAATTTACAAGGAAAATGGAAAGATAACGACAAAAAAAAGGTAAGAAAAATGGAATCCCTCTTCCTTCCTTTGATAATAAAAGAAAATAATCTAAGAGTAAAAAGGGAACACAACATCAAGTAGTGGCCGATCTAGTGCACCTTTAGTCAGTTAGGTCACTAGTGGTGGTCCCTTACCTTTGATCTTTTTTGAGAATAATTTTTCTGCGTCCTTCAAGTCAGAGAGTGTGTGAGATCCGTCATTTTAATGATAAAAGGAACTTTAGATCTTAAGATAAATCCAGTGCCTTCTTAAGCCCCAGACTATATAGTATGGACCCAAATTGGACCACGTTACACTTAAAGAACAAATCCTAACTGGGGAGAAGGACAAGCTTACCTGTATGTGAAGTAAGTAGCACTTATCCCATGCATCGGACTGCTTGCTACAATGTAGGCTAGCCGTAGTCAGCTTTTCTAGTAAAGATGGCACTTTAGTACTTCTCCACAGCGTGACAAGTTATACTTGTGCATTAAGGTGCACTCTGCAAATGCGTGTAGGAGTACAACAACGATATAGAAGCAGACTACATTAATTACAAACAGTGTTAAGTATCACTGTGCATAGTAACTGCTTATCTCTCTTCTCAGTTAATATTTGTTTTCTGAGTATACGGTCTGTGTAGCATCAAGTCAGCAGCATCTCAGTCTCCTCTGAAAAATTAGAGGCAGCCTTTCTTTTACCTATGCAATACCCAATCTTTCAGGTTTCGATTCTACGCTTCACTGTCTGCCTTAGTGTAAAACTAAGGTCAGAGTAAAGAAAAGAGTAAATAGAATGATAATACGGCTTTATTTTGGTTTAATAAAAGCCTGTATATCACTGCTCTAGACAGAAAAGGCAGCCATCCCGCAAACGTGTTAAAATCGCTATATCTAGATCATACAATACTGATTGGATAGGCAGTAGTACTCACTAGATATACTGCAGGCTTAAGCATTTTCAGTTTACCTGCATATAAGCTAGGGTCTGCACCACTGTTAAGTATGGCAGTGACAGCCTCTAAACCGTTTTAAAACGGTTAAAACACTGCTCCATCCACTTTAAAGTAGTTGTGTATCCTTGCTTAGAATAGCAGGGACAGCATTAAACCACGTTAAAAGACGAAGGAATGCTCTGCAAACCATTTACGGTTACCATGCCTCTCTACTCTACACGTAGGCGATCATTTAATTTATAGTTAGGGCGCCAGAGCAAAAAAAATTTAGAAAAGTGGTGGTCCTCTATAACAATACATTATTTAGCATAAAATTCGTTTCATTTATTGTACAATTAACGCATTTCAAGCAACTGCGCATGGGTGACACATCACTGGCTGCAGCTGCTCAAGTACCACGGCTAGCGCGCTATTTTTCACTATTTCAATTAGTCAATACATACAAAATAATAGATCATATTCATAGTGAAAAAATTTTATACAGTACAATAAACTTTTACCAAAAAAATCATGCCATATTAAGATCTAAATATCGAATAAGTCGGTCAGAATGCGTAAAAAATCTGAAACTATTGTATCCTGGCTTCTATTGGTCCTGTAGCAACTTTTTTTTCTTAATTTATGTAAAATAAGCGTAATCAATTGCACTCAGTTGTTTTTGTCTAAGTTTAAAATTACAGAGAATACGGCCTTGTACTTGCAGTTTTTTGTTAATTACTTTCTTATTTATTTATTTGAAAATTCTTGTTTTTTTGTAGTGAAGATAATGTTATTCCTCACTGATTTTAAAAAGTTAGATATGGATGCTATGCCCGTAATACATTTATTACA